CTCTTCCTCCTCCTCTTCTTCTGGTAGATTTGGTGGAGTTTCTGGATTTTAAATAAGGACTCATCTTTTTCTTTTTTTTCTCTGTGATAGGTGAATCAGTGTAGTATGAAGCTCTCTACATAGAATATTTTCCCACAATGCATCAGAGAGGATTTCAACTTGTGTTTTTTCATAAAGTAGTGATTTTTTTTACTTTTACATTTTAAGCAACATTTAAAAAGTAACAACTATTCAATTGTAAACAATTTAGGAAATATAGAAGGGAAAGTGCTGGCAGGATAGTTCAGTGGACTAAGCACCTGCTTAGGCAAGCGCAGGGACCAGGGTTTGATCCCTGGCACAATATGCCACACCAGCCCTGCCCCCAGGTGTGCTGAGCCAGCAACCAAGACTGGGTGTGGTGGCACACACCTGTAATCCCAGCACTGGGGAGGCTGAAAACAGGAGGATCACTATGAGTCTGAGCTGCACAATGAGACCTTGTACCAAATATAATAATATATGTGATGTGTATATATATGAATAAAGTTTTGCATTTTAAAAAATTTCCTGATAATATATATTATGGGCTTATACTACTTACAGAATTGTGCATAGTTTGTGTTGTAAGGGGTCAGAGAGATAGCTCAGTAGAATAAGTGCTTGCCTGGCAAGCGCAAGGGCCTCAGTTCAATTTTCTGCAAAAATAAATAAATAAATAAATTTGTGTTGTGCCCTGCTTTTTTATTTAATCTTTGAAGATATCATTTTTACAATGACATAATTCTTTTTCTTTTTTCTTTTTGTTTCTTTGTTTGTTTCTTTCTTTTTTTGTGGAACTGGGGATTGAACTCAGGCCCTTGCACTTGTCAGGGAAGCACTTATTCCACTGAGCCATCTCCCCGGCCTCTACAATGGCATAATATTGCCTCATCATTTATTTGATTGCTTGATTGTGGGAAATGTGGCATGTTCTAAATTTTTTAATATTGCACTATTTTAAGTAATTCAATATAGTGATACATGACTGAAAATAAATCATCGCTAGAGATTATGATTGGTTCCTCAGTGGGAGTCAACAAGTGTGACCAGGACCACTGGTGTCTGATGCTGTGTGTAACGCTTTGTATCTCTCCACTTTTCTTTTTTTGATTTTTTTTTGTAGCTATTTCATATGAAATATTTCACAAATAACTCTCTAAAGCAAATACAAGACTTTGTAATATGCATTAATTCCATGAAAATTACTGTCTATAGAAAAGATGATATAGGGTATCAGAGAATAATCAGTGAGGAAGCAAAAGAGAATAGAAAACATGACGATTATGTGATATGACAATATGAGTGACAGAGGCAGGCTCCAGATGAGTATGGGCTGATTCTCGCCTACCAGTTGTATAATTTTCTTCATGTCGTATAACATTGGTAATAAAATACTTTACTAGAATTGTTGATATATTTGATTATATATGTAGGTGGAAGAAACTGTAGGCATTCTTCCAAGAAATCTTAACTGTGAAAGATTAACTTGATTGTCTTAAATTCACCGATGATATACAAAATGATTAAATGAGTATGCCGCAACTGCAGAATCAGTATTTTATTGTGCAATTACATTTCAGTCCATTATCATTTACCTTTCTCACTTAGTTATTTTTTCTTTGTAGAATTACAAGTTAGCTATTAAAGATTTAACCACAGTCGTCAACATGGACAAAAACAGTTATGTAGCATTTTATAACAGAGCATTGTGTTACACCAAGATAAAGGAACTTCAAATGGTAAGATGATTACTTTAATAAACAAGTTTGAAGTTTAAAAACAGCACCCATTCAGTGGCTTTTCTAATTAAAAAAGCAATCAATAAATAACATTTAGCAAACAACATATTAAACCATTTGCAAATGCTTTTAAAATACCTATATTCTCTCTTCTATGATTTTTTAAAAAATCCTCATGGAAGTGCATATGCATAAAATTTGAGAAACCAAATAACCATTCTAAGTAATGTTTAGTTAGTGTTCACATGTTTTCTCATATGTCTGCAATAAATCAAAAGAAAAAAATAATTTTATAATGTTTATATATATATACTGATAGGTGCACATAAATAAAAATATGTCAAATAAGTATGATTTGACTAAATGATGATATAGGGGAAAGAAACTCCCAATCTGAAAGGTATCTGGGATGAGTTTGTGTTCTCTAAAATTGAAGATAGAATTTTAGGAGCAACGGAGGTTAAGAGCAGAATATATTAAGAGAAAGAAAGCCTCTGCCCAAGAGAGGGACAGAAGAGGACCTGGTAGGTTGCCAAGGACCTTGCCTTTTCTAGGGATTTTATAGAGTAAAAACAGGAAGGTTAGGCAGGCCTGAAGGTGAAACATGGGAAACTCGTAGGTGGGTATGGAGTGGGACAAAACTATGGTCCACTGATAAGATTACAGTACAAATGCTCAGGTCAAATTGATTAAATTGGTATCAAATGAAGAAGTGAGTTGGTCACTTAGCAAGAAGACATGAATACAGAACAGGGGCTTTTCCTATAGCGGTTGGTTAGTGACTATTCCTGGCTTATTCAGGGTGATTGATACCCATGTTGAATATCCATCACTGATGCTCATCCCCAGGGATGTGTGTGGCTGCATTTGTTTAATCTTTTATTTTGAGCTCTGGCCTACAAAGAGGTCTCTCCATTTCCAAGATATCTCATCTTGGCCTTGGTATCTCCTCAAGGCTTTGGTTCCTTCAAGGCCTAGCGCTGTCTGACTGCCTGTAATATTTCTAGCTCAGCTACCTACAACAGTGATAGGCTTCCTGCCCAATCTGACAGTGGAGACCACAAGCAGTGTTGGTGCTTCACAACGTCAACATTAGCAAGAGCAGTTCCTGGAGGTTTTTTTATACAGTCGGGAAACCACACTTGCACTGAGGAGTTAGGAGTCCGCTTCTGGGTACCTTGTAATTTGAAGGAAAATTAAGGTTGCAGGGAATGTTTTCCTCCTCTTATCTTCATCTGTGGCCTGCTTGCACAAACCCTCTTCTATGTTTTCTACTCTTCCGCTTGTTTTCTTACCCCTTGCTCTGTGTTCATTTTGCAATGAGGCATCCTCTCTGCGTAGCTTCTGGTCTGTAGGCTTAGTGTTCTGTTGGACTTTCTTGCTTTTCTTTTGCTGTTATCCAGTGCTGTCCGTCTCCTCTTTTCTGCCCCTTCCATGATAAGTGGAGCAATCCTTTTAAAACATTCTTCACATTCCCACTGTACCATGTAGGTACACCTTCTCGCTCTTTGTGAAACTTAGTGAAATCTGTTTAAATATTTAAGAATTTAGACATTAATGATGTTTAAATTTCAGGGAGCCAGAGTATTGTAATTTACTCCAGAAATCTTAACAAATGAATAACTTAAGTTTTGTAACAAGGGGATTGTTAAGTTTCAGTGAGCAAATTAAAAGGTCCTTTTTCAGTGACCTCAGCAGGTGTTTTCCTCCCCCCTCCCTACCCTCTTCCTGTCAGGAAGGTAACCTTTGAAGTCCAGAACAATGGATGGGTGGAGAAGCAATTCTCACATTTTTATCATCTAAGATATATAAAAGACTCAATTCCCTGTTTATCAAGAAAACTCAAAATGCCTGGAAAAAAATGAGACTAAAATAAGATAACAAAATTTGATGATTTGAGCTGCTAGGACCCCAAATATTTAACTTGCTCACTTTACAGCCAAGGAAGTGTAAGCAGGGAGAGGTCAGGAGATTCTTCCAAGTCACACAGGGAGCTAGGGACCTGCATGGAGGTGCACACATTTGTTCGCTTCTGAGTTACCAGCATTTAGGCAGCTTTGTAAAATCATCTGACCTCAAGCATATGGGACAGATGTCATTTCCAGGACTACCTCCTCCCTTTTTACCTCCATCTACCTTTTTCTCTGTATTCTTGCCCTTATCAGGATGAGAAAAATCAAGTATCTAGAAAAAATACACTTAAATGTTCCTCCCAGATGTGGTTTCCTCAAAAGCTAAGCAAAAGTGAACTGTGATTCTACAGCTCAGTATTAATATGTTAATGCTATTAATATTAATACTATTAATATGCTATATACTGTACCATTAACAGTTGCTGCTGGTTTAGAGTATTATGCAGCAAGCACTGGATTAAATGCTTTAGCAACACACACTCAAAAATATGTTGATGTTAGCATGCCTCTGTCACAGATGAGGCAAAAGAGGCTTAGCAGGAGATAACTTTCCCCAGACTAAGAAGCTGGTAACAGCAGAGGATGGTACAAATCCAGGAAAGGTCACTCATCCTCTTAAGACCTCTGCCCGCCCCTCCAGTTGACCTGCGTAGAATCTCACTTCCTAGCATTAGTTTCTTCTATACCACATAGCTGCTTACTGAAATCAAAGATACCCTACAGGTTTATGTTCTGTGACTCTATAAATGGAAAGGTCAGACAATTTGGGGCTAATATTCTATATTTTTAAAAGTATCATGAATGTATTGAACAGCACTGGTAATATTTACATCTTATAATTATTGTCATGATATATATAATCTTCAGTTGCATAGCACAATATTTTAGGCACTTGGGTGTCCAATCAGGAAACACTAGAAAAGCAAGTGAGAGCAAAAAAGTGAAATATTATTTATTAACCATTTTTGGCTCACACGTGCTACAGGTATATGACTTGGCTCTTTTCTAATCAAACCACATGGCCCCTTGCACACACTATTCCCTAGGCAAATAATTTCAGGGACTCAACTCCAGTCCAAATTTAGGATTCTCGCAGTAAGCGGTGAACAGAGTAGAGGCCAGCAAAACTGGTTATTCAGTGGATGGGAAAAGAAAAACATGAAACTAGAGGTCTTCTCAGTAGATTCTCAGCTACTGTCTTAAGAAAGTGAGGACTATAGCTATCAAAATATTTTGACATTTAATTTTTCGACAAGTGCTAATTTGTTAGTTTTAGTAAAGGAGATTTTTCAGTGAGTCAGAATTTATTCATCTGCCTGTTGTGTTCAGTGGTGATGCTTGTTACTGGGTTTACAGTGATGAACAGAATAGATAAGCTCTGGCTCCATAGAGCTTAGTGTTCAGTGAAGAAGGCAATAAAACAATAAACAGAAATTAAGTTGTACACAGTACTCTGTGCACTGCTTTAATGTCCACGGTGTCATGGTGAAACTGCAGAGTGGGGAACAAGTGTTGATTCCCTCCTTTCCAACCCATGCCCAAATGAGCATGGACCGGGTGACTCCCAGGCACCACATGACCTGCAGGCCTAGTGGACACCACTTACTAAAGACTTGCAATATCCTCTTAGTGACCATTTTGGTCCCAAGTCATAAGTCACTCTCTGTGAGTTCTAACACAAGCCGACACACATTTTTCCATGGCTGGTGCTGTAAGGCTCTAAAAGGCTGTGTCTAGATTGTAAGTAATTGTTTTATTTTTAGGCATTAATAGACTTTGGAATTGTGCTGCTCCTTGATGCCAGAGAGACTATAACATTAAATACCTTCATTAATCGTGGACTCATCTACACAGAATTAGAGCAGTATGGCCTTGCATTAGAGGTGAGCTTCCTTGCTGCTATGTGAAACAAACCCACTGGATTTTTCCTGCTCCCTTCTGAAAATTTCTCTGAACAACTTTTTATTGCTACCAAATAACAATATTAGTGAGTGATGACTTTAGCAAGAATTGCATTGAAATATTTTCAATGATGAATAAATCTGTGCAAAAGTGTGTATTATTTTATTTAAGTAGTCAATACAGAAAGGAATTCTAATTTGATGAAAATATTAACTCCCAAGAAAATTAAAACATAACTCAATTATTTGGCAAATAATTTGTATATTATGTACTCTGCTGCCTGGTGCTCTTTCTCACTTATAATTTTCCTCTTTCCCCTGTGAAAACAAATACAAAATCTGTTCTGAACAGGACAGGAAATAGTTGCTAAGAAAGACTGGTGATAGGGTTTAAATTTAGGAACAGGCATTCAGAATTGTAATAGGTGTGTGTGTAGTGTATTTAAAAAAGACAGTTTGAAGTTTACTTCATCATAAAAGAAAATAAAATTCATAAGTTTCATTTCAACTTAATTTTTATTATTCTACAGTACTTTTGAAAGTAAAATATAAAAACAAGGCAAAAAATAGTAATTTGAGATTTTCAATTTAGTAACAGCAGTTCTGCATCTTTAGTTCTGAGAAACTACAAGGTAACTATGTAGTAGAGCATTCACTTCTGATCCTTTCCATCCTCCAATATGGCTTGTGTGGCGTTTCAACATCTGGAGTCATCTTTTGAGATTCTGCTCAGCAAAATCACTTTCCAGGCAGTTTACACTGTGATGAAATGTAATCCCAGCATTTGAATTCCTTTAGACTCCTTGATACATGGAAACATATCTTTGAGATATACTATCAAGGACCACTTCTGGAATAGACAACTAAAGAACTTCTCTGTTTATTGTAGTTAGGAAAACTATGGAAATTTGGACAATAGAATTGGGATGGAGAAAGAGAAAATTGAAGTGGGGTGCAGATAACCCCAGCTTTGGGAGAATTAAATACGCAGACTGTTTTACCTACCAACTAAATTTTATTTGGGCAATATAAACTCTATTGTACTCTCTCTCTCTAAATATGTAATATATATATATATATATATCAGCAACTTACAGATAAGGAAACTGGCGTTCAGAATACGGTACACAAGATCTTTCAACTAATGAGTATTAGGGCAAAATCTAAATTGAGCTTCCCTTGATTTTAGATGCTTCCAGTTAATGGACTGGAACCGAAGACACTGTGATAAACACGGCAGAGCTCTAGTCTTTGGGAGCTGATGGTCTAGTGAGACTCATTCTTGACCTCACCTTTCCTCACACCCGACATCTATCCAATTAGCAAGTCCAGGCAACTATACAACTAAAGCATATTTTGAGTTAAATCAATTCTCATAATTGTGACCAGTATCATTTTCTTGTTGGGCCAGATATAACTTAGGTCTCTGAACAGAATCCATGGGCTTGGAATACTGCAGTAGTTTCCTTAACTGCCCTTACTGCTTCTTCTCTTGCTCTTTTTTATGCTGTGCAAACAAAACAGGTCAAGTCACCCCTCTGCTCAAACGTGCCAGTGCCTCCAAAATGAGACTGCATCCTGATCTCTTGAGCCTGACCAAGCAAGAGCCTGTGTGATCTGACTGCCGCGCGGAGCCCCTCTCCACTCCCTACTCACTCTGCTCTGGCCTTCTGCTAGGCAGTGGCACTGCCAGGCCCCTTCCTGCCTCCACACAGGCTGTTCCCTCTGCATGTCACACTCTGCTAGCTCAGCTGTGTGTGCTTCACACCTCTTTTCATTCAGGCATGTGCTCCAATGTGACTTCTTCAGTGACAAATAGAGTAAACAAATTAAAATACAATAAATGTTTAAAGAATCCAAAATAAATCTGGAAAAAAGACATAGGAACAGAGGAGGCCAGCAGAAATCAAATAGTAAGGAACCTAAGTGAGTTGTGAGTAGTTATATTAAATGGCAGTGGTCAAAAGATACCAAATATGTAATTAGAAGGGCCAGCTGGGAAATTTTAAAACTGTCTAATACATTCTGGTCATAAGAATAACACCCTAAACATTACGACACAGGTAGATAAAAGTAGAAGGCTAGAAGGAGACATGCCATGAAAATGCAAATGCCAAAAAATGATTTTTTCCTCTGTATAAAGTAAAATAATTAAAACTTAAAAATGACATAGGCAGAGGAAGAAATAATGAAGGGTGTAAGACAGAATAATAGAGGTCCAGATGATAAAAAAAAATCTTAAAACATAGGAAGAAAGATTTTTGTGGGAGGGATTAATGGTGAGATCGAGTCTGTATGTGCTAAAAATATAGCAGTGAGCTGATGGTTCTGTGCCCTTTGGCGAACACTAATCAGGAAACATTTACACAGGAACTGTTGGAGAAGCTAATGGTTCAGTGTGTCAGACTGCGAACATTTCTTTATCTCTTTTCCTTCTTAAAAACTTGACTATGATAATAGTAAATTGATGAAAATTTAATTCTACATGATTAAAGATAGCGGAAAAGGGATGCTTAAGTGCTCCAAACTACCATTCAGGATTTTAATTTCCTAAATTTACATTTGAAGGGGAAGCCGAGGATTAGACACTTAAGGACAGTAAATTGCTTCACAAACAAGAGACAAACAAAATTGTCCTAGATGTGTAGGAATGCTGGGAGGGGGGCTTGTGTTGGAATGGTGCTGTTGGAGGAATTCCATTCTATGCAGTAAGTAAACAGTTGTAAAGTTGTAATACGATACAGTACTCATGGTGCTTAGATATTTGTAGGTAAAAACCAGAAGAAATGACTATAAGCTGAAAAATGATTGCCTTTTGGGAAGTGAGACTTAGAGGTAAAGGAAACAGAAAGGGGGATCACTGTGTAACATTATAAGTACTATATTTTTCTTAGGTCCTATGTACTGTGTACAGAGATTACCTTGATAAGAATAAAAATAAGCCAATAAAAATGTCTTTAGAGCTGGTCTGCAAAACATGGAACAGGGCTGAGCATGCCTTCAGGAGATGGATGGGGAGAACCAGAAGGCTGTGGCCATGTGTGGATTCCAGGATGAGGAGGATTGTGTGAAATCTTATTTGTCAGGACAGCGAGAGAGGATCCAGGAGACGGCAGTATATGAGAGCCTGAGGTTCCAGAGGAGATGGACGGAGTGCTGCGATGCAAAACGGAAGATACTTGGTGGCGTGTTTGACCACATTATATTTGATTAGATAATAAATTCTTTGTTTCTACCCAAATACTTCCACTTGTCATCAAAATATGCTTCATCAAATCTAAGTGGAGAACCTACATTCACAGTTTGGTCTGTGATAGGTGCCTCTTCCTGTAGTAGCTCTAGAGTGCTTGACTAGACCCCCCTGCTCCTCTTACACTCCTAGTAATAGCAGAAAACTCATCCTACTGCCTAAAACAACCAACTAATCCCTGTACACAATCTCTGCGAGAGGGCTGAAGGAGGAGGGGGTGGTGGGAGGGAGAGAGAGACTTGGTTGTGCTTAGCTCCTGTCTAGTTGGGCAAGCCTTGGGTACTTTAGAGGGCCGGCACCCTCAGGAAGAAGGGGCTGGAGTGGTTTCCTTTTGCCACTGCAGGGAAGGATGCACTGTTCAACGCATTTAACCTGATCAAATGACATCACAGTCCAAATTGCCTAGGAACATGTCTACTGCAACAGTCCTCTAGAGAAAAAATGTCATTTTTGTTCCTTCATAGGTTGTGACTGTTATGTAGGCTGCTGTCCATATTATAGCAATTACTAAAATTAATCTATATCTCATGTGTGTCATGTATTGCTTTTGATATGCAGATATTTATTTAAATATTTTATGAATTTAACTTTAGTGATCTTATTTTGCCTCAGGTGTCAGATGTTTTTATGAGAATTTGAGAAGTACCAAGTGTTAGACACTGTCTTTGACTCCTAAGAAAGTACAACATTCTGGGTCCCAGTGGCAGGATTGCCTCCCACCCAGCACTTTTAATTTGTTTTATATAATCTGTTCCATAGGGTCACTGAGCTCCACTCCAGACAACTTTCCCGAGTCCAGATCTTAGGGTTAACCTCCCCACTTGCCTGCTCAGGCAGTCTTCTGGATCCCTGGACAAAATGGAGCCCTTATATCTGGATGTGTGGACTTGGGACATGGGAACAAGTGTAGCCAGTCCACACACAAAGACTAGTTAGGCCCTTTTCCTGGCCTGGGTGACTGTTTGCTCAAAAGTCATGTAATTCCAACGGTTCTCTCCAGGGAGTTTCCTTCTCTGTCTAGGTAGAGAGGTCTCTGGTGGTGTTCACTGAATACAAGCAGTAAAAGTAAGGTAAATGACACATTTTGCTGTACATTGCAGGCATGGAAAAGTTTCCCTCACCTCTTTTGCTGTGCTGAATATCAAACCCAGTGCATTGCACATGAAAATGGCATGTACCACTGAGCTGTATGCTAACCCCCAAAATTCCTATTCCTGAGGTAAAGAAAAATAGCACAAAATTCTAAATACTTTATGGCAGTGAGGTTCCTCTGCTCCATACATTCTCGCTCATGTGGTCTTTTGAGGAAAAAATAAAATTTCCAGAAGGTATATATTATAGCCAAATGTAGAAAGAAATTCAAGAAAGCTCATATCATGAATGTTACAAAATTAACAAAACCTTCTAAATTTGTTGCAGGATTTTAAACAAGCCGCCTCGATAAGCCAGACTAACGTCATTCTCTGCCAAGCTGCTGCCTTATGCCACCACAGGTATGGGGTGCAGTTGGTGTGGAAAGGACCATGGCCATACTTAGTTATGGTCTGATGAAAAAGGCGGGAAGGAATGGAAGAAAGAGAGGAAAAAGTGGATGTGACTCATTGCAAAAAACCGGGGAGAGATGCAAAGAATTCCCCGTGTAGATTTAGGATCACATCTAGCATGATGTGCTGTTAGCCCTCTCTGCTTTCCACTGAACAATTTCAGACAAATCAGGAGACAATACCTGTGTCATGGCATTGAGGGGGGACCATCTGACTGAAGCCTAGGCACTGGGGAATGACACTTGGAAATACAGAGTAAAATTATGCATAACTTGAAATATCTCAACAAAAACTAACTTAATTTCTTCATCAAGTGGAACTGACTTGTAAGAATCAATTTTCCTGGTTGAGAGAGTGATTTCAAAAGAATGTACTTTCAAGGAAATCTTGCACTTATATATGTAATTATAAATCTACAACTAATGAAAAGAATACCAAGAAATATCTGTAAAACACAGTAAAGTCAATAAAATTACAGCACCTAAAACATTATTGCCTCTTTTCAAAGTTGTTACATGAGTCAATAAGTTATAGAGAGAACACTTACCAAAGGCTAAGATTCAGACTATCAACTTAAAATATGAACGTAGTACAGAGTGCAGTATAGAAAGCTTGCTGACTATAATGTTCACATTTCCATATGGACATTCAGTATCTGAAAATTAAAGCACAGAGATCTATTTTTTTATTTTCCCATAATTTTATTGATAAACAAATAGCAATGAGACAGTTTCAAATCAAATTGGTAGGACAATTTCAATAATTAAAACATTGCATACATTCTTCCTAGTAGTTAATTGCTGTACAAGATGCAGACATGATATCCTATTTACAAACACCATTAGAATAAATCACTCTATTCATTAAGAGAATGTAACTATATATCTATCCTAACCACGTTGAATACACAGATACAAAATGGACATTCATCTGTATCCCCTTTTTTTGTTAAGTTCCGTTCTTTGAATATTATAGGTGTGCAAACTCAGCAACATATTCCAATAGAGTCCAGTAGCCCATAACAGTATTGGGTCTTCCACTTGATTGGCAATGTCAGAAATTGTTGACCTGAGTCCCCTACAGCTCAACATAATAGCATGGCTTTACTTCTTATATTTAGTTTTTATTCTTTTCTGCTGGATGGTAAAGACCAAGGTAAAACAGGACCTGTGCAACAAGAGTTGTAGCTTTTGGGTCTGATAAGGTCAGTGAAATCGCCTCAGGATTTATCCTGAGATCCTGTACCTCAGATTGTAGAACCTTTGTCAGTGTCAGCCATGTGGATGAGTCACAGCCATAGCTTGGCCAATGTGCTCTCTGTGAAAGCCTGAGAGAATGTTTTCTCTCCATGTGACTCTCCTTAGGCACACTCTACATCATCAATCACTTTCCTTTTTGGTGTCATAATCTTCTTGATCAGAAAACTTGGGACACTACTGAGTTACATGACGTTACAGTACAAGTTCTCATATGTCCTGAGTCTTAATTGACCTTGGAAGACTAGGGCCAAAATGTTGGCTTTCCTTGCAGCCCTCCTTTTTCTCTAATTTTGGTCTGCAAACTTAGGTTGTTAACCCTTCCAGAAGAGAAGCTTATTGTTATTACTATACAACCTCGGCTGTTAAGCTTAACCTCACTATCTGTAGGAATATCAAACATTTTAGGCATAACATGGAACAGGTATTTTTCATCAAGTATTGATATGTTGAACTTTAAGTCCCTACAGAATATGATGAAAAAACATTTAAAAATTAGAATATATTTTTAAAAATAGACATAAAGAATTATATAATTCTTATGTTTACACATAAGTCCAAAAATCTAACCATATACAGCTTTGAAGCAGGACAGTCCCACAACATTCCTTTTCCTGTCTCTTGCCTTCCTTCACCACCCGCTTCTTTTTGAACAATCATCTACCCGAGAGACAGCACAGCAGCAACTGGCATGTCATGACAAGCAGCCTGTATTCAGAAGACCAGAATGACAGGCACTCCAAGCATGAAACTACTATTACAGATTACCATCTTCAGTGTAGTTGCTTAGTTCACAGGTATCAGTATATATAGTTAGGGTCAGAATCGTTCCAATTATCCTCTAGATTCAAAAATTTTCTGCAGATTCTCAGGATCGTTGCTTTGCCCATCTTCTACCTATAACTATGGCTTAGCACTGTCATGTTTCCTAGCTCTTCTCCTTTCCCTCTCTTAATTATTTAGTCCTGGAGTTCCTACAGCATTACTTTTTTATAAAAGAAACAATGGCAGTTAATTTGTAGTAGGAAGTTAAAATAACTGATAAATTACATAGATAGGCTCTGCGGATAATCAGAAGAACAGAATATAGTTTGAATTATTTAGGAACTTGACATACTTTATTTTCCCTTATAGGATATAGATACCACAGCTACATTGCCCTGTGAGAGAGTTTGTTATTTTATGAGCAAAGTAATATAGCAACTGGAACTTCTAAAGATGGCTTTGAGCTAAAAGAACCATTCTCAGACCTTTTCTTTTATATCGACAGCAAAAATATAATCATACAGTTGTCAATTTTAATCCAGCAATCCTTATACAATCCATATCCTTTAATTGTTTTCTTAAGAAGAGATAGAATAATGAGACTGGTTTTGGTGGGTGTGTGCTGGCCAAAATATGTGAAGAACAGATTCCAAAATTTCTCTCACCCTCTTTCCAAAGTTTAGCAACTATTAGTAAGTTTCTCAGTGTGTCAGTTCACAATCTGTTTTATGAAATGTGGTCACTGGTCGCATTTTCAACCACAAATCACTGGTTGTATTCTCAGAGCTTCCTTAAACTGATATTGCTTTGCAATTTCAAATAACGGACTTTCATCACCTGACTAGATCTCTATGGTTCTTTAATAAAAGTAGAATTTAAATCAGCATTAATCAGAATCCCAATTCCATGTGTATTGAGTTTTTAACAGTTTTACTGAACGTTACAAGAAGGAATGTTTTGTGGTTAGTGAAATTTCTTCAGGAAAAATAGTTTTGCATTTCAAAGTAAGCAGTAATCTACATAGCAGCAGTTTGTAACTGTAAGGATTCACATTTGGTGTCTCATGTAGAGTAAGGAAGGTAAAAAAAAATCATTTGGAAAATTTTATAAAAGGAATAAATCTTTACATTTTAGGGCTTTGATCTTTGAACTCATGGGGCTGCAGACTTGTGAAGTATCTTTTGTGTATCTCTGGTTCTCTCTCTTGGGGTTGCTAGGAGACAGCATTCCTTAGGCCGAATATCCTACTTGTTGCCTAATTTAATTGCTGGCAGTTTTAAGGTAGAGTTAATTTTTAGATCTTTTTGCTAAAGCTACCTTCATTTTCTGTTTAAAAACATGAGCGGTTACTCAGTTATATGTTCTGTGTACTTCTCATTTCTATATGTTTATTTTGCCATTCGTGATATTTGCATAAAATACATTTTAATCTTTAGCTTTGCAAGCCACATTCTTCAGTTTGGGGGAGGTATTTGTGATTTATTTGTACAACTCAGTAGGGCACATCTGGTAACGTATGTGATTAATGTGGTCAGTGCTGTGGGCTTTTGTGCCCGTGTTCTCACTGCCCTTTCAGAGCATGATTCATTGAGAACAGAGTGAGAATTAGATACCTTTATGTGAGCACATTGCTTTAGATCTATACACAAGCATTTTAATTTTGAAAACCTTTTATATGCTTTTATACTTGAAGTAGCAGATGCCCATCTGTTTACTGCTTGTGCATGCACACAGGGATGGTGGGTAGAATTCTGCTGTGCTTTCCCATTGGCCAAGTGCTGGGGGATGACTGACCAAGAGCAGCAACTGAAGGGACACTAAGAGGCGCATCTCCAGAAGATTAAGATTGCTGGTTCCACAGTGGTGTCCGCTGAGTGTGTTTCCTCACCCGTTGGTGTTGGACCCTGGGGAGTCTTTCTGTTCAGCTCGGTCTCCTCCTTGGGAGTTGATTTTAGCCATCATCAACCCCGAGGTACTGGCCAACTGGCTTTCAAGATCACTTCAGGCTTTAAGGCATGGTGATTATTTAGCCACTGTGAACAGAGTGCTCTTTAAAGACAGCGCTGGTAACTAGATCAGTAAAATAATAGCTTCTACCACTGCCTTTGGATAATATTTTTAGGCTCTGTGATGGTGTGCTTCAATTCACTGCCTCAGTTCTTTCTTTATAATTTTTATAACTTATTAGGCTGTGCAAATGGAGAGTTTTTTATAAGTCATATATCAAGATATGTATTCCTAAAGAATTTTAAATTTCTTTTTAAGTAAGGGGGATAGGGTGTGATGATATTTTGATATGAGTATCCTAGGAACATTTCAGGATTTATGGAAAAAATATGAGGGATGTGGGATTGTCCTGAAATTTCCATTAAATGTAAACAATGACATGTATTATAAGTGAGCTCTTCACTACTCATTAATAGAAATACTGAACACAATAAAACCTAAAAAGGTACACTTTACATAAAATGGCTGTGGTATGTTTGTACTTAATAAACAGTGCTGGTTTGTGCTTAGAACTGTTGCTGTAATGCAGTCACTTGGAAGGCGCTGTAACCCTACCTTTACTGAAGCTTTGCTTCGTAAATGGTGCCCGTTACTGAGAAAAAGAACACAACTTAGTTAAAACTTTCTGGAAAGAAATGATCCTGTGTTTTCTGAGTAACAACCCAGAGTGAACTCAAAAGATTCCTGTTGGCTCAAATATATGGATACTGAGCTTCGCCTGTCCATAATGTCAGAAATTAATCTTTTCTGGTGCTGCAGTGTTCATTTGGTGGGATGTTTGGTGGAACATTTCATGAACCACTTTCGGGTAGCATCAGCCAAAATGTGGAGCAAGAGTCATCATGAGTGTGTTGGTTATTTTTTCATGATGTGGTCATGTTCTAAAAAAAGATTACTTTTTAAGTAAAATTAGGGACATTAGGCCTCAGTGGACTAGACAACACAAACTATAATCACTCCAGCTAAATACAAATACATAAATTGAAACATTAAGGAACCCAATAGATACCAAAACAGACCAGCTAAATCTTGATTATAAAGTAGCCTCAAGTAACCTACTATTAACCAATCAACTTTTCCTGTTCTATTTCTTTCTTACCACTGTACAAACCCCATCTTCTGTTATTTCCTAGTGAGACCAAAGAATTCTCTTTACAATCATGATTAAAAAGTGAGATTAATGTACAACATTTTGGTCATTAGTCAATTTTGAGAGGTTGACTGAAAAGGAAGAGGTTGACTAGATGGGCAGAACTGTTAAGGTTGGCCTAAAGCTGCCTCCCTGTATAGTTTAAATTGGTTCTAAAGCTTTCCTTATGCATAGTGAACTGTAACCTAACTTGAAGGCAAGCAGACTATAATTTACATTTGTAACAGATAGCTGACTCTCAGCCAGTCACAAACAACAACTGCTCAACCTTCAAACAGGACAGAAGTAAGCTGTATTCAATGGGCCTTCCACACTTTCCTTGTCAGCATGCTTTCTTTTTCTCTGACCACAAATCCAACTTGGAGGGCATAGTAGGGTAGAGTATTGTGGATCCAGGCTGCAGTCCCAGTGCTGCATAACAAAGCCAGTTAAGATGTGCAAAACAGATGTTGTTGTACTTTTCTCTTTCGACTTATGGCATCACACTGTGAGAAACGGAATCACTCCTTACTTAAAAAGTGAATTCTTTTCCATAACTTACACCTAGGGAAGTCTTACTGAAAATCATGTCTTTAAAAACTTTTTATTTGTGATAGATGGTACAGCCCTCAAGTTTAATTTTCTGTAGATTACAGTATCCATCTCTAATTTTATTTTTAGGATTTCTTTCTGTTAACAATATGAGGTAACTTATTTTTCTTTCTCTTTTCTTGTGGTACTGCAGACAAGTCCTTATGCAGCTGAGCTATCTCCCCAGACCCTTATTTTTCTATATATTGAAATTATATTCTTTTAAAATGAATTCAGTTAACTTTAACCAATTGACATGAAGGAAAATCTTCTGTAAATAATAGGGTAGGGCAGCTCTCATGAAAGAAGGACTGAAATTTGGAGAACACTTTTAAAACAATTCTTGAGCAACATCTAGGAGAAGGTAGTTTCCAGAATGGTTATCTTATGTTCCGTGTGTGTGTGTGTGTGTGTGTGTGTGTGTGTGTGTGTGTTTAAAGCAAAATGTGTGAATAGTGATACATTTTATTACATTAGAAAACTGGCTTGAGGCACATAATGGAAAGAATTGCACTATGTTCTTTTGTTTAGCTCCTGTTGCAACACTGACAAATTCTGATTTGCTGATCAGGCTCAGGTTTGAACGCCAGCCCTACTTCTGCTCAGCTTACTGACTCTCTCACACCAGTTACAGCATATTTTAAGCAAGAAATATGCATCCAATATATAACTTTTTACAAAAGCATGCATTTCTGAAGTGAGCCTTATCTAAGAAGTATTTGAATTTTAAGTATTTGCTCTGTGCCAAGTTCGTATGCCACTCACTATGCCATTTCCTGTGTGCAGACTTTCCTGAGACATGATCTGTCTTTTCATCCATAAAATGTAGATAATTATAACTAGCTTAAAGGGTTGTTGGAAGGATTAAGTGAAATAGTGTCTGTTAAGCATCTAGCCCAGTGCTTGGTAAGTAAGCAATTACTCAACATTAGCTCCCTTATCTGATTTTTTTCAAAGTCTTAGTGTTGATGTTAATTGAGACTAAACATAATTATTAGATATGCATTTGAATTAGCACAGTGATTTTATATGCCCACAAACAAATACTTTATCCCTTCAACAACCCAGCCCCCACCTTCCCCCATATTCATTTACAAGTTAATAAAATGTTCTTCTTTCTCTGACTTCCTTTGCTGATGTCTGCAATGAAATGCACTGCCTTTATTGATCTGAGGTAAAAATACCTGTGGTAAAAATTTATTTCATTATTTAAGGAAATATTAAATATATAAAATGTATTTATTTTTAATATAAGTCATGCTCTACTTAATGACAAGCTAAATTCTGTATGTCAGATAGTTTTCCATTGTGTGAATGATGTTGAATACATTTTCAGACTGAGACAGTTACAGTGTCACTATATAATATAATCTTAGGGGACACCATTGTTTATGTGGGCCATTGTTAACAGAAATATCATTAGTGTAATGAGTCTACTTGGAGTAATTTAATTAGAGTATTATATCAATATTAGCATATGTTTTCTGTACTGGTAGCTGACAGTCATTAAAATAAGATTTAGGAATACACTATGGCCTTTTATCACTTAAAGAATTTCATCCCACTACATTCTGCTGGGTAAATTTCTCTTCTAATTTCTTCCATTATCTAAAACTTTGAAGAACCTGCCAAACTTCTTAGACCACGTGGACCTATGTGCTCACTGCCCATGACAGATAGTAAAATCAAAAGAATTTTTAGTATATGTGCTGCTAAAGTGAGCCCTGAAATTGAAAAAGATTTTATGTGGTCATCATAGATCTTTTTAGAAAAGTCATATTTCAGGAAAACACTGAGTATGTTACCAGAGAGGAGAGCATCAACTCACCTGAATAAATCAGTATTTTAATTTTTTTTCAGAATTCACGAATTCAGAGAAGCTATTGATTCCTTTAGCCAAGCTCTTAAAGTTAACCCACTGTTCCTGGATGCTTATATCGGGCGGGGGAATTCTTACATGGAATTTGAACATGAGGAAGCCATCAGGCAAGCGCAGAAGGACTTCCTGAAAGCACTGCATCTTAACCCTGTATGCACAAAAGCCAGAATTAGTCTGTGCTATAATTTGCAGGTAATATAATGTTTTGGCCATTGAAAGCATTGTCTGGACAGGAGAGAGAATGTGTTTGGCCCTTTTCTGGTGATTGGCTGTTATTTCTTCAGTTATGAGCATTTGCCTTTCCCTTACTTTTAGTACAGTAGCAGCGGTAGCAGGGGCCCATGTCACGCAGGGAGCTGCTGGACAACCCAGGGCCTGGCATGCTGATCAGATGGGGACTTTCATAGGAGTTTGCTTAAAGTCTGCATCCCTATGTGTCCCTGTGTGAATCACTTGTACAATTTGCCTGATGAATTTCACAAGTAAGAGTCTGACTAACATTGCAGTAGCTTATACCTTAGTTTCATGGGCTTTATCCTATGTATTTATTTACAAACAAAGGAGAATAAGCAATGTATGATTAAAGTGAAAGATAGCCATACAAAAGATGAGAAAAATGATATGTAGGCACTTCTGAGCTCAGCCATCTTCCAGGGAGCAGCAAACTAGAACTTGCTGGGAAGGCAAGAGGACAAGAATTTGTCCCCTTAGCAAGATGGGATTGTGGTACTGTACTCTGTTGCGAAGCTGATCTCTCAAAACAGGCATACTCAGTAATACAAATTATGATGATAAGTGCAGCAAAGAAACAAATAGCTTACAGTTCTGAGATATTGAGCTGTATTTGAGGAGTAAGAGGGTTTTATTCAAAATTAACTTTTGTATCTAGGTATGAAAGACTAGTAATTAGTCAAAGATAGCAGCTGGGATTGAGATGTGTGTTCAAGACAGAGGGAAGAGTCCACTGGAAAACTTGTAAAATGGAGACAAGCATAGGATGTTAAGGGTAAGGGGAGAGTAGTTTGACATGAAGCCAGATTATCAGGTAAGGTCTGGTGTTTAAAGACCTTGCAGTCTATCTAGCCATACAAGCAGTGCTAATCAGAGAACTGACATCAACTCGCATTGCAAGAAGAGTCACTGGGTGAAAAGGGATGAAAAGGGATTAAAAACTTTAGTATAAAGGATTAAGTCAGGAAAAGGACTGATGAAAGTGACGCGGGGCCATCCGACTACTGTCCTAGAGAGTGATCCTCTACTCAAGAAAATGTTACAGATTCTTCTACTACTTGCCAAACACTGTGGACATAGAAGCAGGTAGGTAGACCAGATCTTGTAAAGAATAGATGATATAAAATCCTACTGTGGGACTGTCTTCAGTTTAATATTCCCTTAATTCTCAGTCTGTCTGCTTGATGTTTTATGGGATGAACTTGTGGTGACTGTGTATTTCCAAATGGTGTACCCAGAGTGAGATTTGCTGGCCAAAATGCAAGCTTTAGGGTCGGGGGAGATAGCTCAATGGAATAAGTACTTGCCTGGCAAGTTCGAGGTCCTGAGTTTGATCCTTGGTACCACAAAAAAAAAAAAAAAAAAAAAAAAAAAAAAAAAGAAAAGAAAAGAAAAAAAAGCAAGCTTTAGCTCCCTGAGTGGCTACAAGTGTTCTTAGAAGCACAGTTAGACTGAGTCAGCCTCTGAGCCCTGGCAGGTTGGTTTTCTGGGCCCATGTAAAAGATGGAGACCAGGCTCTGCTGATTAGTTGCTCACTGCCTTCCCGTGGTGAGGTATTCAGTTGCGGTTGTTTCTTCATGAGGAAATGCTCTGATAGTCTCTTATCAGGCGTGCCTCTGATGATCTTCTTTCGTTTTCTTCAGGTGATGCTCAGGTTAGTATAAACAGATGCTTGGTAGATTTACATGTTTTTTCCATAAAATATGTATAGAGGCCCTAAAATTCAAGAATTGTCAAAATGATTTATGAAAATGCTTTATGCTACTACTCATTTATTTATGCAACACATATTTTAGTTGGAGTTTAAATAAATGAATGAATAAAATTCCTGCTTGTGCCTGTGGAATGCAGCGTAAAATTTTTTGACAGTCGTCAGTGAGAAGCGCTGGTGTTTCACATGGTGGCCTTCATGTTATGTTGATTCAGACTGCATTGATGTAAGAAGTGACTCTGCAGTTAAATGTGTTTTAATTAATACAAGTGTTATGGTAAAGACTTAGAGCCAGTCAGTCGAATGTACTTGCAGTATAGCCTACTTTCCTGTTTAAAATGCCTCAGATTTAGCATAGTATAAGTATGTCCTTACCAAAACTTTTAAGTGAGTTAGAATCATAAACATTGGTCATGTTACCCACTCTTTATTACTTCATGAAATTGGAAAATTGTCTTAGGCCCAAGGAAAATTACAGAAAGCTTGGAACCACTTCACCATCACCATGGAAATTGATCCACAGAGCTACCTGGCCTACGAAGGAAGAGCCGTGGTCTGTCTTCAGATGGGCATTAATTTTGCTGCCATGCAAGATATTAATGCAGCTCTAAAGGTAAAAATAGCCTTAGTTTATATTGACATAAATAAATACAATCAATGAATAGGTTCAGTATAAGAAGTTCTCTGTTACCCTTTTAAAATGACTTTGAGAGGGCTGGCCATATAGCTCAGCAGATTAAAGCACCTGCAAGCAGGTGCAGGGGTCAGAATTCGATCCCCTGACCTGCTGTGCCGGCCTCGCCCCCAGGGCATGCTGAGACTCCAATTGAGATTGGACTTGGTGGCGCGTGCCTGTAATCCCAGCTCTTGGGAAGCTATAAACAGGCAGATCACTATGAGTCTGATCTAGTAGTGAGACCCTGAACACCCTGTAACCCTTCCCTAAAATTAAAAAAAAAAAAAAAGACTTTGAAGAAAATAATGTTTTCCTATTTTCCTGAGTCATTCCAAGACTCAAGAAGTATTATTGCATGTCGGTAATTTTATGATGTAGATGAATTTAAAACTAAAAAAAAAAAATTTGATTAACATTGATTCCTCTCAGACAGTGTGCCTTGTGAGTTTCACAGACCATCCACTTTATTTTGTAACACTAAGAAATGTGAAATACAAAACGAAGTTCTAGGTTTGAAGGAACTAAAGAAAGAACAATTTAAATCTCTGGATTGTCCCCCAAGGGAAACTCTAAATAAAAGTCTTAGGTTTCAAATGCAGTAACAGACATTTTTCTAGCTTTTGAATTTTTTTTTTTTCCTTTCAATTTGAGTAGATGTTGTAATGTTTTAAATGAGAAAAAGGAAAAGTCCTGAGGAACAATTGTGACTACACAGGACAAACAGACATGTCAGCTGCCCAATTTCATTTCTTTTCTGGCTTAGCCTAGGTAAACAGATAAACTTTCCTCCTGTGTCTCTATCTTGGAAAGGAGCTGAGTAAAGCATTAAGATTATTTGTTTTTTTGCAACCAAATCAACACAGTGTTGACAGCAAACCAATTTCATAACAAGTCCTTTCTTATAATATTTGCCCTAATGGAGTTTTGGTTTTACCTGCACTATAAAGTTACGCTTTCCCATAAGTAGGTTTTATAATGTTCATTTCTGCACACGTGAAACTGGAGATAAATACTATTCTCAGATGCTAAAGACTCTTGCTATTATATTGCAGATCAATACTACAGCAGAGTTCTTAACAAATCGTGGTGTGATTCATGAGTTTATGGGTCAGCGACAGAATGCAATGAAAGACTATCAAGCTGCAATTGCTGTAGACCCCAAGTACTCGCTGGCTTACTTTAATGCCGGAAATATCTACTTTCACCACAGGCAGTTTTCTCAGGTAATGTGATGTTTTTTTTCCTTTACATTTTCTTTTTGACATGAAATGCCTCTTTGTTAAATGTAGTTGCAAAATGTAATCCTTCTACCTCAGCCTAATACCTCATTAGTTCTTCTTTCTAAAAACTTCTCTTTCACAAGAATGTTTATGATTACCCATTAAGTGCTTATTCCAGGATGGGTTTGTTCTCTTTATCATCATCAATCATTAAACTCTCGTTCAGTGAAGGTCATTTCAGCTTCCCCAGACTGTCAGCACTATCCTAGCTGTATCCATTGTCACCAGCGTCCATCCTTCTAGAAGTTTTTCTACCATTTATTCTTCCTTGAAAAGCCCCTTTATGATGAATTTCTATCTCAATTTGTACCTTTGCTGAATTTCAGTCATATGCCCACTTGACTGGGAGTAGGGAGACTTAGATATAAGCTTTTATTTTGTGTGACCCTTTAATCACTTCCAATCTCAAATTATAATGTCCAATAGGAAAATATTGGTATATTAGATGATGCTTTGTTTTGAATTTATTTTATTTCAATTGAAATGCATTTGCATGATCACATTCTTATTACATTTTTGAGTAGTTCTTTTCATCTGTGGTCACTCTTGTTCTGTTTCCCTTCCATTTTTCTTATCCATCTATCTTTCTGAGCTGGAAGTGTAATTTTCTTTCTATGTTTACTTTTCCATTAGTATAAGGGCAATTTATTAATGTCATATATTTTTCTAATTACTTTTCTAAGTAACTGATGTATTTATTTTTAACTTGAGTACAATACATATAATATAAAAATTTCCATCTTACCCATCTTTGAATGAGCAGTTCAGCGGTGTTAAACATATTCTGTAATGTTCTTATTAATTAAGGTTTTCCTAAAATTTTATACCTCAAATTGGTGTTTTCCCTTTGACTTGAGAGTATTTAATGGGGGTGGCAATTTTTGGATTTCAATATGTTCTTACTTTCATTTTAAAAGTATTTTACTCTGTGGTCTGATTTTTTTAAAAGTTTTTTTGATAGGAAGGTATATAATGGTGCTCTTTTACAAAATAACCTTTATTTCTTAGATCTTTAGTTTCTCTACTATAAACAGCAATAAAATTAACTTGTAATGTTCTTTTGCTCATTAACATAAATGCAGATATCAAGAACCATCATCTTTTTTTTTTTTTTTTGGTATTTTAGGGAAGAATCTACAGGGTGTTTAGAGTCTCACTACTAGAACAGACCCCTAGTGATCTGCCTTTCTACAGCCTCCCAAAAGCAGGGATTACAGGTGTGCGCCACCATGCCCAGCTTCAATTGCCATCTCAGTGTGCCCCGGGGGGGCAGGGCCAGCACAGCAAGTCCAGGGATTGAACCCCCAGCCCCTGCTCCTGCTTGCAAGCGCTTTAATCCGCTGAGTTATTTGGCCTGCCCTCATGAACCCTCATCTTTAAAAAGACAAGAAAAAAAAATCTCACCCTCACAGTCTACTCCACCTCCCTGTACTTCACAGCTGTTTTTCACAGGGGACTTTTCTTAAGCCAGCTATCTACAGTACCACTCCCTCCACCTCTCATTCACCACACAGTGTCTCCACAACTCTCTGCTTCAAGCCTGCGCCTCCACTGCTCTAGCAGTGCTCTGTTCAGAGGCGTCAGCGAGCACCCATGTTCCTCTCACTGGGTTGCTCAGCAGGAAAGGAGACGGGCACTTGTCTCTTTGTAAAGTAATTTATTCTGCAGATGATACTATTCTATCCTGTTCTCTTCTCATCCCTTGGCTAGGTCCCCCTTGTCAATCTGCTTTTCTGACATCTCCTCTCTGCTTCGCTTCTAAATGTTGTTAACAACCCAGGGCTGGCTGGCTCTTGCTTTGTTTCACTCCAAAATTGTTTTTGCGTATCATTCTCTAAACTCATATATATATATATATATATATATATATATATATATATATATATATCAATTCCCAATATTGAATTGAATTCAGGGCCTTGTGCTTGCTAGGCAGGTGCTTTGCCAATGAGCTATATCCCTGGCTTAACTCTCCAGTCTTATTAAGATTGTAAACTTTTAGGGGCAAGAATCATACAATGCATTTCTTGATTCAGAAAATCCATTTAAGGTTGAGGAGGTAGTTGGTGGTAGATCACTTGCTTGGCATGTGTGTTATGGCCCTGGGTTCAATCCTCAGCATGGGAAGAGGTCGCAAAAAGAAATAAGAAAGACCTATTTACTCTTGTAATTTATACAACTTGTCAGCTTCTAATCTTCTGAGTTCCTGCTTATTATAAAATCGCTAAAATTAGGTATTTTATAGGTGCATTAAGGTCAAAACTGACCTGTTTTCCCCCCATGTGTAGTCCACTTTTCACTGTATAAATTCTCTCTTAACATGTATCTTCCATAAGCCGCCTGAGCCAACCCATCAGAGTCAATCATAATCTCCTCTCTTTGTTTTCTAATTGGTTATTTAGTCTGCCAGTTTTGTGTCTTCATTTTTTTTTTCAAATATATCTCCATTTCTGCTACCATTGCCTTAGAGTTATCCCTTATGCTTTTGCAATTTACATCGAGACACTTATCAGCTTGCTGACCGCTGTAGTAAGCCTGGTTGACCACCACAGTGAATTAGATGCCAGGCTAGAGTGATTGAAAGTGTGATTCTATAAGGCACAAATAACACTGTTGTTGCTCAGCTCTCTTTGGACAGCTAGGAGGCAGACAGGGCAACAGCAATTGCCTGAAACTTCATTCATCTCAGATCACTTTCTCTCTGGGTTCTGTCCATGATTTTTTGGAGGTCACAAAATAAAGTTATTCAATGAAATTTAGGCTGAAGTCCTGGCCAAATAGCTCAGCGGATTAAAGTGCCTGGAAACAGGTGCAGGGGTCAGGGGTTTGATCCCCAGGGCCTGCCATTCTAGCCCCGCCCCCAGGGCACACTGAGATGGCATTTGAGACTGCGTGTGGTGACACATGCCTGTAATCCTACCTCTTGGGAGGCTGTAAGTGGGCAAATCACTACGAGTCTGATCTAGTAGTGAGACCCTGAACACCCTGTAGACCCTTTCCTAAAATTAAAAAAATAAATAAATAAATTTAGACTTATAAATAAAATGCCCAGGACAATTATTCATTTTTATAGATGCTTAAGATCTGTATAAGAGAAAGGTCTTTATCTTTTAGATGTGGTCATCTTTATATTTAATAACTATGAACACTGTGTACAAAATTGTTTAGATCTAAAATGTAGTTTGGATATTTTAATATTTTTTGATAGATCTCTATTCCCATTACACCACTGACACATTAGTGGGGAGGCCACTGAAAATGTGTCCCCTTTTCTGTCCGAAATACCAGATGCTTTGTCTTCAGAGTACACAGTCCCTTGGGAGACAGGTAGGCCTTGGGAGTGGCCATTCAGCTGTACCACTGTGCTCTGGGCTTCTGTTTGTGGAGAAAATGGCATTCATGCCCTCCCCTCTCTTCCTACAGCCATTATTTCTGTCCAAACTGCAAAGGAAACTTTAGGCTCAGGCAGAGGGGTTCATCAATACATCAAGTGACATTTAGGCCATTAAAAGGTGGTGATCTGACTTATCCTTTCTTTAGTAATTTAATTATTTAAAACTGCAGTTGGATGAGCAATTTGTACAAATTGTCAACTACAAATAGAAATGTATCTGTTCTCTAATTTATTATGGTTATGAGAGAGGTGCACAAATTGTTAAAAAATATTCAGGCCTCTAATTGTTTTTAATTTTTAATTAAAAGCTAGATTTTAAAGGGAAAAAGGGATAATAAGATGAGGCGAATAACTTGTTTTGAACAATTTTTGATTGGTTCGGTCAGTTACACAAGGCATTTTGAGCAAATCTATTTTGAAGCAACAAGTCTTAAAACAGAAAATTGTCAGAAGCTCCATGCTGGTGGACTGTTGCAGACTTTGGTTTTGCTGGTACATTCTTGGAGACTGTTTTCACCTGGGAATTAAAGATTGAGGAGCTTGCTTCTGCCAAGTTCAATCAGCGAGGCTCAAAGAAAAGTTTTGCTGTCTCTTGATCAAACTGCTTAATTTTTATGTTCACACTTTTCAGGTTGATGCTCAGTTGTGAATAACCCACAGTCTTTGGTTTCTCCAATATGCTGGTTTCCCCCTGTCTCTTTCTCTTTGCCATATTTCATCATATAGCTGAGTTTTTATGCCTGTTCATATAGTTTAGAGGTTCTTTTGAAAATACATTTAGCTGTCTAGCTCTTCCTCTGCTTTTATATATAAATGTGATTCTCCTAAAATGTATTCTGTCTTATTTGGTTTTCTTTTCTAATTTGCTTTTTACCTTTTTATTGTTGTTGTTCCTCACAGCAATATAAGATTTGGGTGACAGGCAGTGGGAACATTTCATTCCAGCAAGGAGGAGAATTTTATCACTGACATTGCTGAGAACAGTGGATACATGATGTTATGTTCTTAAATGTCTCCCAAAGACTGATAAGTTAAAGGTTGCTTGCCAGCCTGGCAACACTAGCATGGTGGTGTCTTCAGGAAGTGGGGTCCATGAAATGGAAGTCAGGGCATTGGGGTGTGGCCTTGCAAGGGATACCAGGGCTGCAACCACTTCCTGTCTCTCTTTGCCTCCTGATTGTCATGAATAACCTCCCTTGGCACGTGCTTCCTTGGTGACCTGGGCCACCGCAGGTCTAAAGCAATAGGGCCACATAACCATTAACTAATACCTCTGAAACCGTAAGCCACAGTAAATCATCTATCTGCTTAAATCACTTATATCAGGTATTTTGTCACAATAGCAGAAAATTAAAATAAGGGAAGGGTCTACAGGGTGTCCAAGTTCTCACTACTAGATCAGGCTTCTAGTGATCTGCCTGTTTACAGCCTCCCAAGAGCTGAGATTACAGGTGTAGCCACCATGCCCAGTCTCAATCTCATCTCAGGGCGCCCCCGGGGCGGGGCCAGCACAGCAGGCCTGAGGATCGAACTCCAGGCCCCTGCACCTATTTGCAGGTGCTTTAATCCACTGAGCTACAATTTTATTTATTTATTTTTTTATGTATTTAGTACAGGATGTCACTACACAGATTGGACTTGTAGTGATTCTCCTGCTTTCAGTCTCTCAAGCTCTGGGATTACAGGCATGCGCCACCATGCCCAGTCTCAGTGGCCATCTCAGCATGCCCAAGGGTGGGGCCAGCACAATAGGGCCAGGGATTGGCCTTAATTTTATTTATTTATTCAAATTCTTCCTCATTTTAATGAGGAAAAAAAGATAAAATAGCAATGAAACAGTTTTAAAACAGGTTAGTAGGACATTTATGGTAATTAATACATTGCATATTGTTGTCTTCATAGTAGTTATTTACAGGATGAGATGCAGAGTATTAAATAGCTGTATATCTATCCCAACTCTCTTTTGTATACATATGTATAATTTTTCCTTCTCTTTTTTTTTCACAATAAAACTGTCTTTTATTTACACTTTTGTGAAGTTAGTAATGCATAACACTAGGTTTCCTAGAAGCTAAAAACTAACCTTAACCAGACAGGATGTTCATCTCAGGAGTGAGGTAACTTGTTTGCTTTAGGCACTGGCTTGTTTTGCTGAATTCAAGTACCTGTAATCTTTAGACAGGTTTCAAGTATGAAAAGGTCCTTTAAAGACTTCTCCAAACACAGCTTCTTTAACTGCAGTGGAACACCCAAATCTGAAAAAAACAAAACGAAAAAGGGGATATGTTGGGAGCCACAAAGCTAAGAAATTGACCAACTATATGTAGGTAGCCTTAATTTTAAATGAAGAATAAATGTACTTGAAATTTTTGCATAGCTTTTATTTAAAATAGATTGACACCATCCCTTTTACATTTTATAGGCCAATGACTACTACTCAAAGTCTTTAGAATTTGATCCAGAAAATGAATATGTTCTCATGAATCGAGCTATTATAAATACAATATTAAATAAATATGAAGAAGCAAAAGAAGATTTTGCATGTGTAATTGACCGCTGTCCATGTTGGGCTGCAGTATATTTAAACAGAGCATATTTGTACTGCTGCTTAAAGCAATATGATCTTGCAGAGGAAGATCTTAGTAGAGGTATATTTTTTGGAAATCATTTTGATGAGATTGAAGTGGTTGATATGTTTGTTTTTAGACTGCAAAAAAAAAATCAGGTGTATTTGTCTAGATGAACTTACACAAAAATCAGTGTATATACATACCATATCTGAGACATAACCAATATAGATTCCTTCATGTAATATATTTTTTAAACAATGTTTTATTTACTTATGTATTTAGTACAGGGTCTCACTACACAGCTCAGACTTGTAGTGAAGCTCCTGTCTCAGCCTACCCAGCACTTGGGTTACAGGCATTTACTACTATGCGCAGTTTTAGGGCCAGCATGGCATGCCCAGCGTTCCGGGGCTGGTATGGTATGCAGTACCAGGGATCAAAGCTGGGTCCTTGTACTTGCCTGGCAGGTGTTCAGGCCACCAAGCTATCTCCCTGGCCCTTGTTTTTGTAATATCTTAACTTAAAGCTTTGCTAAGCAGAGATAGAATTATTAGGCAACTATTTACAAGCAATGCCAACCTTTCAAAGAAAGCTATTATATTGTAGTTTGCCAAATTAATTTTCTTTTCTCTTTTTTTTTTTTCTGTATTTTAGGGAAAGGCCTACAGGGTGTTCAGGATCTCACTACTAGTTCAGACTCATAGTGATTCTTCTGTTTACAGCCTCCCAAGTGCTGGGATTACAGACGCGTGCCACCACACCTAGTCTCAGTCACCATCTCAGTGTGCTCCTGGGGTGGGGCCAGCATGGCAGGCCTGAACCCCCAGCCCAAATTAATTTTCTTAGAAAGACTCAACACTTTAGATTTAAGTGAATATTTGTGATTGAAAAAAATGGTTTCAAATCAAAGTTCTTATAAAATTTTTATTTTTAAAAATGAAACTAATCCATGGCTCCATTCATATTTTTGTCTTACTCTTCCAATTTGGATGCATAATGTTCAGAGCTCAGAAGATTGAAGCCTGGATTTTGAATTAGTATCTTGGTTTCACTTTTTTTTTTTTTTAAACTAAAGCTATATGAAGCTTGTGGATTAAACAAGAGATTTCTAAATTTAAAAAATGAAACTTTTTGAGTGTTTACATAAGCATCTTTTTTTTTTGTTTTACATAAACATCTTGAAATTTGTTTCTTTTGCAGCACTGTCTTTGAAGCCTAATGATGTGGTAGTATATAAGCTCAGAGGAGAAGTTCGTGGTAAAATGGGGATGACTGAAGAAGCTATCGCTGACTACAACCAAGTCCTTGATCTTGAAGAGTGTGCCCTAGTTACCTGAGTCCGTGGACTGTACTCTGATTTCTATGGTAGCTTACATTCACGTGACTCTTCTTCCTGAAACTGAAGTGTTCGGAAGTTTTAGAATATTTTCTGCATACTTAGAATATCTCAACAATTGAATTTCTTCATAAAAGGCTGAATTTAAATGAGAATGTTTCTCCAGGAATATGAATGTTTAAAATATTTTCTCTAAAGTAAAAGAATTTCCTTTGAAGTAAAATGATTGTAGAAAAATGTTATCAACCTTTTCATGAATTCCTACTGAGAATGTGTCCAACACTACACAGATAAAGGATAAATATAAAATGATAACTACAAAATATTAAAATTATGCGTATTTTCTCTCTTCTTTCAATAATGTATATACTGACCTGTTTTTCTGATACATTTTTCCAACAGATACACATAACTCTCTTTTTAATATTTCTTTCTTTCTAGGATAGTATCTATGAAGACTCGAGGCATACAGTGTTCTGAGATAATCTTTTCTACCCTTTTAGTTATGATTGCAAAGATGCATAAGTAAATGCAGACTACATAAGTATCGGTGAAAATCTGTCCACACTTGTGGTGGGTGCTTCATAGCAGTAGAAGAGTTAAAAAATTAAAACAGCTAAACAATGTTTGTAGAATGTCTCTAAGAGGTCTCTTTCTTTCTTTCTTTCTTTCTTTCTTTCTTTCTTTCTGTCTTTCTTTCTTTCTTTCTTTCTTTCTTTCTTTCTTTCTTTTCTTTCTTTTTTTTTTTGATAGAATCAATTTTATTTTCCCTTAGCACTCTTAAATTGCAGGTCCACCAAGGCCAGACTTGCAAAACAGGCTCTTCCCCATCTTAACCTTTTACCAGTAACATAGTCTTTAAGATATTTATATACCAGCTTCTGTGCCAGTTACAAATGTAATCTTCTTAGGTTGATTCCAACCCAGAAGCTCTAGCATAATCAAGACAGCGCTGACTATCTCCGTAGTGCCCTGCTGGACATACAAAATCCCCAAAGGATTTTCTGAGAGAATGGCTGAGGGCTGTATTTCCAGAACAATCTACAGCTCTGATTCTTGGCTCAAAATAAGGAATTTCTTATTCAAGGAACCATTTAATACACACCGAAGTAACTTCTCAGCCATAAATAAACCTTAGTTTTCATTTCAACAGCACACAAATTCCATCACGACTTGGGAGGGACCCATGAGTACCTCCTAAAGTATCTCCACCAAACTGAACCCACATTCAGGGGAATGAAAGTACAGTGTAATATAAACCTGAATGTACTGGAAACAGTGTAGGAATTTCAGGACCAGGATTGACTGGTCTTGGCCTGCAAGTGTTCTCATTAGCAGAAGAAGAAAAAGTTGTTTTCAAACTAACTACCCTTTCCAGAATCCCAAAACTAACATCTAAGAGGTCCTTTGAATGAACTAGAGATCTCCTTTTTTCTTTCTTTCTTTCTTTCTTTCTTTCTTTCTTTCTTTCTTTCTTTCTTTCTTTCTTTCTTCTTTCTCTTTCTTTCTTTTTTTGCCAGCTCAGCCCACTCTGAGGGCATGGCTGGTGTGACATGTGGTGTCAGGGATCAAACCCTGGTCTGCTGCACCTGCCTAAGCTTGCCTAAGTAGGTGTTTTAGACTACTGAGCTTTCTCCCTCATCCTTTCTTTTATTTCACTGATGATATCAAGACTTTGGGACTTCTATTTCATTCAAATTTGCTTCACCTGGCTCATGTGCCTTTTTGATATATTTTTCCCTGACACCCATTAAACTCCTCAGAGGTCTGTTTCCACTGAAATAAGCATTTGGAAAAAATACATTTGTCCACTCAGCTTCTTTTGTTTTTAGGTTAGGTGCAGGTTTTAACAATAGAAAGTTGATTGTAGTTTGTAAATGACTGTGCAGATGTTCACAGTGTTTTGGGATAATTTTCCTGGTGACATATGTGCATTCAGGAGTGAGTGAGGAACAGCTCATCCCTAGTGAGTTATGTCATGCAGTGCACCAAACCCACATAATCAGTTGATTCAGATCTTTCTCTCCCTGATCTTGAGCCATTATCTCCGCCTTAGTCACAGATGAGATTCAGACTGACTTATGCACTGATAGACAATATTGGTGCATAAATATGCTGTCACACTCACCTCACATCTCTCCCTGAAAGCCCCAAGCTGCTCTGTCAGTGCTCAAGGCTTGGATATGTGGGCTTCCCTTGGTGCCTGTCCCTGTGTATTGCAGTTGTTCAGGAGACCTACATCTCTGTCATAGCAACATTTGATGAGGAAAAGGGATAGGGAGGTAAGATTGTCTTCCATGAATACCTTAGTGGTGTCCAAAGACACTCAATTTACATGGATTCTGCAAGAATAGTCCTGGGAGATTAAGCAGTTGGTTTCACTCATGGTAGCCAGTAAAATCACAGTGCACAGCTCGTATTCATGCTTTTGCTTTTCCTGCCTCCCTTCTTTTTCTCACCATTTCTGCTTCTCTGAGATTAAACTTGATAGTGTAGGAGCCCAAAGCGTTTGCCTCAGAGTCCCCTTCCAGGAGATCCCAGACTAAGCCAACCAATACTTCAATGTTTTTTTTTTTCTCTGTGTGCACATGAGTACATGAGGCTGGAGGTGGCAACTCCTGGGGAATGACACAAGCCAAGGATCACAGACACATAATAGAGCCAAGCGTGTCTAGCTTGTTAAAAGGCTGCAGGTCCCCTGGCCCATATTTCTTCACATACAAAGTGTACATGTGCACTGACAGCACTCTACGGAAGGCCCCTGTGGTGTTCCTTCGAAAGTATTTACCTCGGTCCACAGAGGCCTGGTCAGAGGGCTTAATGGCAAGGAAAATGTCATAAAGGTCAGAGGGGACCTGAGGAGAAACTGTTCATCTCGATTGCCTGGTGAGAGGTGATTTTCTTGACTTCCCAGAGTAGTTCAGTGTGTGCATTCCTCCAAACACATATTTTGATGGTTCCCTCCCTTTTGTGCCCCTCCTCACCTGCCTCCTTGTCTGTTGGCAAAGCTCCCTGTTGAAGTAAACCACCTGTACTCAAATCTTTATCTCACGATGTGCTTTTGAAGGACCTGAAGGTAAAAGCCTCACCAAAGAAGAGCCACTAGAGCTGGAGTCTGAGCAGAGTAACATCTGTGGGCAGAGATAGATAGGGGATGGTGAGGTCATCCACAGAGACCAAACATCTCCACAGACTGACACCTAAGCAGGAAAATGGAAAAGCAGTTTGAGGAGTAGCCAGAGCAGAGAATTTCTGTGAGAAAATAGTGGGAGGAAAGTAGAGCTGTACTGTCAGAATCAGATGTGGAGGATCCTCACCGCTAGATAAAGAAATTAAAATTCAGTGCAAGGAGTTAAAGCTTGACTGGATGTGTGGGAGAGCGCATGGCAGATGAACAGAGAGAGAAGGCTCCTCGTCATTCCCTTTGTTTCCCTCCATTCTTGTATCAGGGACTTGGGGCTTTTATAGCATCATCAATAAAAAATTAGACCATGGAAAGTCCAATTTATCAGTTTTTCTCTGTTCTGTATGAGCTCCCCTCTGATGGTTGTCCCAACATACAAGGGGAAAGACAGCAGGGTAAAGGCAGGATGGCAAATAGGGAGATGATGAATTTGCTAAGTAAAGCCTGGAACAGATGCCCTGAAAGGAGAAGAAAGAAATACCTAGATGTCTCCTTTGCTTTTCACTTGCTATAGTATTGATCTCTTCAGCCATTGTGCTGAGCCTGCATGCTTGTCACAATTGCTAGGATTTATGGGTCTGGTCTTACTTTTCTACAATATATGTATGATATAAGCATACACACACACACACACACACACACACACACACACACACACACATCATGGCTTTCATTGTTTCCTAAAAGTAAAATTTGAGAGGTAAAGGAAGTGGGTAATTTTTTGCTTTATTTTGCTTCCTTTTACTTTATAAGAAAAAGTGTAGACACATAGACTTTCATATTCAATTTTATGCATTTCTGTCATTTATAAGGGTTTTTGTTAACCATGTTTTTTCCCACTGCAGCATAAGCTCTATGAAAGTAGTCTTTGCCTTTTGTTTGTTTCATGTTGTGTCTCTAAGACTGCAGGGCCTAATGGTTGTTCAGTGTTCATGGAATGTCTGATAAATACAAGCACATTATAAGCACTACGAGTCAACACTATGGCCCAGCTATTATTTGCTTGTTGCATGTCCTTTAGATGCTCAGCAGTTCTTCCATGACATGAAAACTGAGAGCGAAAAGTTTTATTCGTTGGATGTCTTGGCAGCCAGCAGCGAGAGCAACCGATGTGCTGTCCAACTTGCTGCAATTCCATGGGGCTGAACCCAAGTATTGTCACATGAGTCACTTTTCTGTTGGTGTTAAAATAGTATGCTCTGGGTGGAATGGATGGTTTCAGATTCAGCAGACAGAAATACAAGACTAGTTGCTAAATTTAAATCTCAGATGAACAATAAAAAATTAAAAACTTCAGTTGAGCAGGGGACACCCTCTTCAGTTTAAAGGATTTTTTTGGTATGAGTACATTTCCACCTATTGTATGGACATACTTACATTGAAAATCATTTTGAGCTTAACCAGAAAAAAATTTTGAAATGATGCTGATCTGAAATTCAAATACAGATAAATGTCTTGTGTTTTTACCAGGTAAGTCTGCTTTGAAGCCAGCGCCATGAGCACCCCTTCCAATCATTGCCACACTTTCCTGCAGCCAATACGTGCCGGGCCCATTTCTTCTCGGCTTCCTCTTTATGGGAGAGCAGTGTCTCCCCCAGTGCTGCCAGTATGGCTTTATTCTCCTCATGTCTTAGCTCACAGCCTGCTTCTCCTGACCTCCAAGTATGGGAGCACTGATTTCCTTATAAAAGATATCTCAGGGCTGGCCAAATAGCTCAGCGATTGAAGCACCTGCAAGCAGGTGCAGGGCCTTTGGATTCGATCCCCAGCGTGTGGTGCCGGCCCCGCCGCCGGGGCATGCTGAGGTGGCAATTGAGACTGGGCGTGATGGTGCATGCCTGTAATCCCAGCTCTTGGGAGGCTGTAAACAGGCGGGTCTCTATGAGCCTGTTCTAAGTAGTGAGACTCTGAACACCCTGTAGACCCTTCTCTAAAATACAAAACAAAGAAACAAAACCTTTCTTTAACTAAGTGGAATGGCTTCTGTTGTTTCTGACTGATATTATTATGTACACAAGATTTTATGCTTTTAAAAGTAATTTAGAAACTGAGCATCGTGGTGCATGCCTGTAATCCCAGCACTTGGGAAGTTGAGACAGG